TTTTGCTCTCGGCTTTATTTTTCTCTTTGTCTCTCTCTCCTAAAGGTCAGATGAGCGTCTCTGAGATATTCTGACAGGTTCTCTGCTACTGAACGCTGGATAGCGTCACTGCTATCCATTCTCCACCATTTTGTGTTTTCTTTCTCTCCCTCTTTTTCCGGTCGCTATCTTCTCTTTAACTGTCTTTTCCATCTGGACATATCAGTTCATCTGTGTCTTTCTACACGTGGGCTTTGAGTGTGTACTTCCCATTTAATTCCCATTTCTCCCCAGAGGACGGTTCTGCTCCTCAGACGTTGCTCTTGCTTTGAGACTTTCTACTTAAAGTTCGAGGAATTTGTTTCCATTTAGGGACTGATGTTGGGAAAAGGGGTCACAATCGGGTTCACTTCTGGGGCCGGTTGCACCAGGTATTCATTTTACGCAGGACTTAAAACACATTTTACATTAAGCCTTTGATCACTTGATTTAAAAAACACATATCATGTACAGTTTTTGATGTATTAATATTTAGTAAAACACATATCAGTGACATGATGGGTTTTAACTTCATTCAGGAGATTTTGGGTAACTGCACAACTGACAGATGACTTTGAGCGCACCGCCAACGGTGTGTGTGTGTGTGTAACCATAGCGACAAAACGACCAACTTTCGGATCCTGGACTTTAGCTTATAATTTCATTTTTAAAAATATAATTATGTATTTAAAAGTTGCAGAATGGATTCATTTGGAGACTTCGAAATCGGCAGAGATAGGCAGGCAATGCAAAACAAAATAAAAGTTATTGCTTAGCTTCAACAACACTAGTCTGTTTTTTTCCCCCTCCGGTCTCGGACTTGGTCTCGACTTGGTCTGTCTTGGTCTTGGTCTGTCTTGGTCTTGGTCTTGTCTTGGTCTCGACTTGGTCTGTCTTGGTCTTGGTCTTGGTCTCGACTTGGTCTCGACTTGGTCTGTCTTGGTCTTGGTCTCGACTTGGTCTGTCTTGGTCTGTCTTGGTCTTGGTCTTGGTCTTGGTCTCGACTTGGTCTGTCTTGGTCTTGGTCTCGACTTGGTCTGTCTTGGTCTGTCTTGGTCTTGGTCTTGGTCTTGGTCTAGACTTGGTCTGTCTTGGTCTTGGTCTTGGTCTTGGTCTTGTCTTGGTCTTGTCTTGGTCATGGTCATGGTCTTGGTCTTGGTCATGGTCTTGTCTTGGTCTTGGTCATGGTCTTGGTCTTGTCTTGGTCTTGGTCTTGGTCTTGGTCATGGTCTTGTCTTGGTCTGTCTTGGTCTTGTCTTGGTCTTGGTCTTGGTCATGGTCATGGTCATGGTCATGGTCTTGGTCTTGGTCATGGTCTTGTCTTGGTCTTGGTCATGGTCATGGTCTTGTCTTGGTCTTGGTCTTGGTCTTGGTCTTGGTCATGGTCTTGTCTTGGTCTGTCTTGGTCTGTCTTGGTCTTGTCTTGGTCTTGGTCATGGTCTTGGTCTTGGTCTTGGTCATGGTCTTGTCTTGGTCTTGGTCATGGTCATGGTCATGGTCTTGGTCTTGTCTTGGTCTTGGTCTTGGTCTTGGTCATGGTCTTGCCTTGGTCTTGGTCATGGTCTTGGTCTTGTCTTGGTCTTGGTCTTGTCTTGGTCTCGATACCCTCTGGTCTTGGTAGTGTCTTGGTCTCGGTTTAGGCGGTCTTGACTACAAGTCTACTTAAAACCGTGTACATCCCGCCACGCTCTCGACGAGGGTTACGGAGTGCACCCGGTTTTAAGACTATAGGCATGAAGCAAAATGTGTTTTAAGTCCTGTGTAAAATGAATACCTGATGCACCATCCTGGGGTGTGTTTCCCGAAAGCATCGTTAGCCAACTATGGTCGCAACGAGTCGGTGTTTCGACAGATCTCGACCTGTGGTTAGAAGCATAGGCCTAGTTTCTAGTTTGCATGACATGTGGACTTAATAAATCCTGATCTTGAGCAAAATAAGCAAACTGACATTCAGTGCAACCTGTGTCTTTTATTTAGAAAACATACAAATGTCATTTACGTCTTTTAGTTTGTCGAGAGATTTAAAGCGTAGTTTTTGAAGAGTGCGCATGTGTGAACGAGCTCTAGTGCGTAAGAACGAGTCTATGATTGAATCTGGAAATAAAGCGAAATAACTGAGAATTTTTTTTAATATTCCTCAGATGCCATGTCTGTAATTTATAGCGAAACATCTAGCATTAATTCAATCTCAAACAGATTCATTAAAATAAGTGATTACTCCTGCGTGACATCATTAACCAACGTGGTTGAACGACCACTCGTGACTAGCTAGATTATTTCTTCAATGATGTATTGCACTATAGTAGTGAAGTAACGCCGTTGTACGGGAAACACACTCCTGGTGTAGCTCACGGCTGAGACTAAGCCCGTTTCCAACTTGTAGATCGCTGGCTTTGTTCCGAAACGGACTTAATTTGTTGCATTTTCTTCTTTGTGAGCGTGTCTACTGCACACTTCCTGACCTAACACACAATTTCTGTGTGTAATTATGTTGGAAATATTCAATATAAACATATATCTGGGATTATTAGCAGAAATTGTATACCATTGCTTAAAGGACAGTATGCTTGGGAATAATATTTCACATCTTTAAGTCCATTCACAGCAAGCGATATAGCCAGTGAATCATTTAAATTAAGTTACTGTACTAAAAATATATAAATAACTTAACAAAGGGGAATAACTGTAGGCTACAAGGTGAATAAAGTTTTGCACATACCTTATAAAAGTATAAATCTGTATTCAGGCTTCAGAATTTGACATTTGCATTAGGCTTATACGTAACTCGCTCTCACTGTTAATAAGCAGGGACATTTCCCGACCTTAAATAAATAACCATTTACATGCTTAGGACCAGGGCTTGGCACTAACACCCACCAACCTGCCAGATGTGTGTGTGTGTGTGTGTGTGTGTGTGTATTTCAGCAGTGGCGTTTAACACTGTCAGCACTACTAGCCACTTTGGTTGTTTACATTTCAAATACAATATATACATTTTTCGATTGTAGTCTTTTAAAAGGTATCTGAAATAATAAACTAAGTGCAATGTAGTGTTCACAAAAATATAGATATTCTATAGATATTTCGACACATATAAATATTGAAACGCTTCAATACTTCCAATAGATTCAGGATACCAGCTGCTCTTTCTCTCTCTCCGACAGCGAGTGACACACAAACCCGCCTCCACTCACTCACTCGCTTCATTCGCTGCGGATGAATATTGTTGTTGGTGTTACAGGGCTTGAATTTCGGCACGAGATTGCGTCTATTGCGCATAATTTTACTCATTCCCGCAGATTTTGTGAAAAGTATGCGCACATAAAGCCGCCTCTCAGGACTAAAATAAGTTCTTTTTCGATTCTTATTGCACTTAAACACTCAAATACACACAAAATAATGTCAAAAGGCCAGTCTTGGTGAGTATTCACATAAACACAGTCAGTTATGTTAAAATGAACATAAACAGTTGAGGAAGAAAACGCATGTGTAACAGTGTAATGGGTCCGTGTGTCAGCTCTTAACCCTCTGGGGACGGATTGGGCGGTACCGCCCAAAATGGCATACTTTTACAAATGTGTAAATATCTTAAAAACTATTAATGATAGAGGCTTGTAAATATACACACTTCCTTGTTGCGCAATACCACTATGTAAAGGGCCAATGAAATCGATGTTGTTTGGCAGATTCCGCAAGCAACAACCAATGGAAAAATTGCCGATGGCGAAATATTTTTCTTATCCAATCAGAGGAAGGTTACCATGACGTATCTAGCAAATCAGAGGACTCTGTAGCCTTGCAAGGGGTGGTACTATATAGTTAGGGATATGACGCAAACAGCGTTGAATGGAGAGAAGGAGAGAGAGCGAACGGAGGCTTACGGAGCGGATTATCAGAGAAATGACTGTCAGAGAAGTCACTGGAGAGTGACGAGGAGAAAGCATTGCTTAGAAAATTCTAAGCATTCCTAAGAAAAACGCCTAGGACTATTTGTAAATAAAGTTAAATTTTTCATTGTTCTTTACACATTTTATTTAACAATTACACATGTCTATATATTTTTTTTGTTCAAAAACTGTTCACTATTGTTGTGTGATGTGTGATTTTCAGAAATAAATGACAAAAATCTAATTTCCGTTTTTGAAATTCTCTAGTTTATTGTACATTTTTCACTCGTACTTCCTTTATAAACACATTACATGCATGCTTATGTTAGCTTAGGGTCTTCTGAATCCATAGATACCAAACACATAGTGTTCCATCTCCATTGCATATGGTTTATAAGCCCAAATGTAAAAATAGAGAAAACGGTCCAAAAAGGGCTTAGTCCCCAGAGGGTTAAAGGGACAGCAGCCTAATAAACTTGCTGCCAAATTATGAGATACTATTAAAAATATCTATATGGCAGTTTTTCCCCATGTTATAGATGGCCAGTTAAAATGCTGAGTGGCTCATAACTCTGGAGAACCACTAGACAAATGGCTGGAGAGCAAAAAAAAGTTCATGTCAAGCCCTGATTAGGACGTTTGCATTGTAAGAATACACAGGGAGTTCAGACATAAAAAAACAAGACTAATTAGGTAACGTTAACACATTGAAGTGAGATGGTGTGGTGGCTTCACTTTCTTTTCGTAGTAAAGCCCATAGATCTAACACCCAACTTTTCCATGTCCAGCTGGTGGCTTTTATGCAGGCCAGACAAGTTCTTTACTCGAGACTCTATAAATCATTTCTTCATTGACCTCGCTGTGTCAGCGAACTGAACAGAGCCTCTGTTTTGTCTTCACTGGAAGTATGGAGTCCAGCCAAACCTGTTAATTAAAGGGGATGTCCACATATTTTTGGCCAAGTATTGCATTAAAGATATCTTATTTATCTCCTTCTCAGTGTCTCCTCTATAATTTCTCTTTATTAATTCCTCTCTGTTGTTTGTGTTTGTGATCCTCTCTTACTTTTGTCTTTTCTCTGTTCTGTGTTTTCAGCCTCTCTGGAGAGTTCGCCGTAACTCGAGCGTTCCCGGAGATCCTGCGTTCCCGGTCCATCTTCCACAACGTCCACGTTCAGCCCCTGCTGTCTTCCTTACTCTCTATCCAGCGGATCTATACCTCCCTCTGATCAAAACTGAGCTTCAGTGGCTCTTTACAGCAAACACAACCTCGAAGAATCGTCCGGACTGTTGATGTTCACTTTTGGACGATGTGAAAGACTTGCTGCTGAATTGTGTTGTTTGTTGTATGTAATTCTGAAGTGTAGCACTTTAACTTCTATTCCTGCCAGCGCTCAGCACACAGCCTGTTAGCAAACCTATCTATCTATCTATCTATCTATCTATCTATCTATCTATCTATCTATCTATCTATCTATCTATCTATCTATCTATCTATCTATCTATCTATCTATCTATCTATCTATCTATCTATCTATCTATCTTTCTATCTATCTATCTATCTATCTTTCATCTATCATCTATCTATCTGTCTATCCATCTATCTATCTATCTATCTATCTATCTATCTATCTATCTATCTATCTATCTGTCTGTCTGTCAGTCTGTCTGTCTGTCTGTCTGTCCTATCCACCTGTCTATCCATCTACCCATCTGTCTATCCATCTATCCGTCTATCTATCTATCTATCTATCTATCTATCTATCCATCATCTATCTATCTATCCATCATCTATCTGTCCATCTATCCATCCATCCATCCATCCATCCATCTATCCATCTATCCATCTATCATCTATCTATCTATCTATCTGTCTGTCTGTCTGTCTGTCTGTCTGTCTGTCTGTCATCCATCTGTCTATCTGTCTATCTATCTATCTATCTATCTATACATCTGTCTGTCTATCCGTCTATCCATCTATCTATCTGTCTGTCTGTCATCCATCTGTCTATCCATCTATCTGTCTATCTATCTATCATCCATTTATCCGTCCATCTGTCTATCTATCTCTTATCCCTCTATCTATCTATCCATTGGCTATCCATAAAACTATCTATCTATCTATCTATCTATCTATCTATCTATCTATCTATCTATTATATCTGTCTGTCTGTCTGTCTGTCTGTCATCTATCTATCTATCTATCTATCTATCTGCCTAGATAAATAAACAAGCTATCTTTCTCTCTATCTCTTCACATGTAAACCTATACAATAGTGACATGAGGACTCCACCCTTTGCACGTCTGAATACTTCTTGTCTCTTCCTCTCTCTCTCTTGTGTCTGCCGTCTCTTAGTATAATGTAAGACGTCTGGTCGACTTGCTTGGTTAGTTGTCTCTTTGTCTCTGTATGTCCCTGAGCTTGAATTCCCTCGTCATCCATCAAAAGCAAGAGCCCGTTATTACGTATCCCGCCGACTGAAGTGCACTGTGACTGCGACCAGGTCTCTTAAAAAGACAAGCCCACCCTTCAACAGGGATCTGCGTTTCACCCCAAATCCTTCTTTCATCGCCGGACCAAATGCATTATACCCTCATCTCTTGATCTGGAGCCAATCTTGGGGTTTGACTCATGGTGGAATTCAATTAGAAGGAAGGATGAAGCAACTGAGCTCGAAGCTGTGAAACTGCAAGGACTGAGAAATGGAGAAACGAGAAAGAAGGAGAAAAATAGATGATATGCCTCTGTGAAGTCTCATCCTGCCATTGGGAACGACAAGGAAAGGAAGAAAATGTACTTTTAGGCATTATTGAAACGCATTATTTTGGAGAAAAAACTTCCCATTCACTGTATCTTTTTGAATAGAGATCCTCACAAAGGCATCACTGTTAATACGACATGGCCATTCACTGTTACCTTTTTAACCTGGAAGCACATGCAAGTTCTGAATCAAACGAACTGTGTCTTTGTACCCTTTGATCATTGTCACCTTTGTATCAAACAAGAGCCTCAGGCATCAACAAGACTTCTCACCACTAAGAGACTTGCCTCGATTGTAGCATGACTCCGCAATATCACACAAAGGCCTCGACGCGGCCGCAAACACCGATCCATGACAGCGCAGACCCGACATTGATTAGCCAGAGATGTTTTGAGGGCTACAGTAATAGGTTACACGCTGTCCGGCCATGCCTATGATGGAAGGTCTACCTTACAAGACGCTTTCAAGATCCAAAAATTGAGTGGTATCGATTAGACCTCGTCGATTACATCTCATATTGGCTCTCGTCTGGCTCACAGGATGGAGTCAATACTGGGAATCTGGGGAAAAGCATGTTCCAATTAAAAACTAGCTACCATTTCATGCCTTTGTGGGGCCTTTTCCTTCGAGAGGGCTTTGAGGACCGAGGGAACTTGTGAAGGGCTGAGAGGGTGGAAACCGAAATGATCATTGGTTTTATAGCTGCTAAACTAGTTTATCAGTAGAGAATGTGTGGTTCAAAATGAGTTTGTCTTGATGAGCCACAGTATAAGTGGCAAAAATTAAACGAGCAACTCTAAATCAGCTCTAAAAGACACCGAAGGAGAGTTTGAGGTCTTTTCGTGTGGATTAGATTATGAGATGGTGAGATGTTTTTGATTTGAACTTTATGAGACCATCTCATGGTACATTAACCGCAGAGTTCAAGTCAATTCAACATGTTCAGCAAAAACTCAATAGCATCATACTGTCGATTCAGACTCTTAGTTCGCCTTAGGGCGTTTTTGTTATTTACTAGAAAAGTGCATAGGAATTATAAATTTGTTTTTAAAGATTACATTTTATAGCATATACTAGAGCTGTACAATATACTAAAACTCTTTTATAATCACATAAAAAAGACACTTAGTTCTTATACTTTAAAATATATCTAATGAATTTTGATATGTTAAGATAAAAAAAGTGATTCAGTCGTTCTCATTAGAGTATTCAAGTAACAAAAAAGGCAAACACTAAGAATCCTTTTTGATCTTCAAAACACTAGACAAATTAATCATAATAACTAATGCACAAATGTCCAAGGATAATTAATGAATAAACATTCCCTTCCTGCTCTTTTATGTGTGAGATTTGCCTTTAGATCCACATAGACTCCAGGAAGAGAATAAGACTGATGTTAGTTAGATGCGCTTCCCTCTAGTTTTATCTGAAATAATATAAACACACATTGAACAGCTGAATATAGTGGATTATTATGCACTGAAGTTGTTGACGTTAGCTTTTATCGGCTCTGAACGAGATGCACACGTATCAAGTGAACGTTAGCCTCAAATGCACAAACTACTCATGGATACGCTAACATAAGTATATGTTTATTTTCTTGCAGTATTGCTATATTGATGCACTCACTATATTCACTTACAGCAACACACCCATGTAAATGCATAAAGCTGTTTGCATTAATCTGAATAATATTATTTACACCCGTAAATTATTTTTGACATTATGGGAGCATGTTTTCTATTGTTCTTGTTCATTTGTTATGTTTTTAGCAGGCATGCAGACTAAACTATCAGAGCCCTTTCTTTCCATATAGTGTGCCTACTCGTTATGAACATGTTAATATTATTAAATAAACATATTAATATAACAAGGCTATTCTTTGTGTCTTATTGAACGCAAGAGCTATGTGAATAAGATGCTTAACCAATAGCGTTATATTAGGTGATCATGTGTGTCTTTATTTAAGTGCGACATTCGGTTCCAGAAGTTAAAAACTTCATTCATTTTCTCCATAAGGAAATTGATTTTTAACAATAACTTATAAACCTTTATTGAAAGACCTACTGTGAGCAACGAGGTTGTTAATCGATGGCATTTGCTTCTGTTGAAGCCGTCAGCCTAATATCTTTAAAACAATCGGGTTAACAGCAGAATTCCTGGTGGGAAAACTACATTACCCATAATGCTGTACAGAATATTCCACCAATCAGAGAGTCGTGATAAAGAAGAGCTCTTTAGCTCCACCCACTCCCATGAAGCACTGCGAAGGACTTAATCCAGTTGATTTTCCTATGCTTATTTGTATTATATATGCATATTTTGCAATAAACTTATATATTTTGCATATATATACATATTTCCCCATCGTTTTTAATTCGAATATGTCATTCGCACTGCTTCATGGGATTGTAGTTCTTTCCCTCACTAAAGCGTACACAGTCTTGTCCTTTTGTCTTTTTGGCCTTTTTTTGCTTCAAATCAAAGTTAGTAATGTTATGATTCTCCTGAGAGCTTGTTGCATGAGCATTATCGAAGACTTTTGTTAAATCCCTATGGGAGAAATTAATGGAAAAAAAGTGAGCGGGCACCGTTGCACTCTATTGGTTTATTAATTACAGTAAATGATGAGGAAAATGGATGAGGAAACCTCTTTAAGAGTGTTTTTGAGAGAGAAGTGCTGCCAATAAAATGGACGTCCATTGTGTTTTGTGGCTGTTTTCACCGGGACGTTAATCTAGATTGATATTGACTGGGCTGTGTCTTACACACACATACAGAAGGCAGCGGTGAGAACGCCATCACACACACACACACACACACACACACACACACACACACACACACACACACACACACACACACGCTTTGTTCTGGTGCTGACGGTGAGGAAAGAGTGAGAGATGAACAGACGGAGAGATATGACAGCACATCACTCCTCCTCAATCCCTCTCTCTGCTCTCCAGCGACTCTACCTGAGACATTCTCAGCATTTTACATCTCTCTCTCTCTCTCTCTCTCTCTCTCTCTCTCTCTCTCTCTCTCTCTCTATCTTTTGCTCTTTTCCCTCATATTCTTGACTGCATTTGCACTTGCTCTGTCCTCTCATATCTATTTCTGAGCTGTTTCCATATCTGTCTATGTAAAATCCTTCACTCTGCTCCCCAATGCTTGCATGCGTCTTCCCTCAATCGTGCCGTATCTGTCAAGACTCTTAAAATTCAGCAGTGTCTGTATATCTATAAATGCACACTGAAATATAATGTGTCAGCCTTCGCTCTCTACCACAGGTCCACAGCATATACAGGCGATATATATATATATACACTCACCTAAAGGATTATTAGGAACACCTGTTCAATTTCACATTAACCCGTTTAATCCCAAATTTTTTCTTGCAACTTAAATACATGCATTTTACTCCTTAGACCTCCCTAACACTCAAACATTATGCCTTTTTTGATTTTATGTTGGTTAAGTTAGTGAAATATTAGGTTTTATACTCGGTCACAATAGTGACCGGTGGGAAACAACATAGTCAGAATTCATTCAAATTCTTCAATTAGACCTATTGACACAATTCATTCCAAGACATCCAATATCTCGTTTTGTCATTTCGTGAAGAAGGCTTAGTGAGGTGAAAAGGTTGTCATGTACAAAGTTACACCCTGGAGGAACTTCTGCTTGTTCGGCTAGA